CCCAGGTTATAGAACTTAGTGATGAGGGGTCGTGACACAATAGCCCTTTAACCAAAGAGTCTTTCAAAAGGAAAGGATAAATACATGAGGAGATGATATATGAAAGATCAGCTTTGTAAACCATCCTTTCTTTGCCCACCCTCAAGATGTTCCTTGGCTGAAATAAGAGGATGGTATAACTGGAAATAATTCACTTGAACTTGTGACTCAGCTCTTCCTGAACCTGGGGAAACACAGTCCATAAATCAAGATGGGTGCTGCCTCGTTGCCTCCTTGCCAAGCGTCCCCTACAGGCTGATGCTGGAGGAGCCATGGGAAGAGGTGACCCAGGCTGCTTCCTGTGAGAGATGTACAAGAGCATTTTGTACCCCAAGACTCCCCCCCCCCTTTCAGAGAGCTTTCCTTTCTAAAACTTTCCAAATAGATGGCCTCAGACCTTGGCACACTAATATTTACTGTCCAACCTGCTGAGTTTTACTTCCTGGCACAGCTTGCAAATTCTATTCTGATGTTTAGCAGAGACTTGAGGCTTCTACCATGGAGAAGCGAGGCTGGCTGGGTAGGCTGTCAGCATAAGGCAGACACAAGATTTAGAAGACTTTAATTTGTGATTGCATTTGAAATTTATTTAGCTGTGGGTAATAGAGGAGCTGTTCTGCTTTGGAAGGGCCATGCTGGGAGCCCCAGTGGCTTGATCACCTCCTTCCTGCTGTCCCTCCACTCTGGAATTCCCAGCTCTCCATCTTTCCAAGGCTTGGTCCAATCTTGCGGTGTTTCAGATGGATAAGGAGGAGATCAACATATGATGTGCATGTGAAATAATGACTCATGATGAATGTATTCATTGTCACAAGCATATGCTAAGAAAAAATTTTTAAATGGGACAAAAACCAGGAAAGGACTTGCCCAAAGTTTCAAGGGTGGTAGACCAGAACCCAGGTGCGTTCATGCCCAGTTCCTTGGGTGGCAGCACTGGGCCAGACACAGGGCTAAGCCAGGAAAACATGAAGAGAAGATGTAAGTCCGTCCCCTGAGGGGCCTTACAGTTTGATGACAGAATATGTGTGGGGAGGAAGTGAAGGAGCAGTAAAGACTCCAGAAGCAGCAGCTTCCTTAGAATAGCTGCCATGCGTTGAGCCCATACAGACCCTACAAGCCCCAAGCTGCACCCTCATTCTTGTCAACACTCAGTCCTTATAACATCCTATGGGTAACCACTGCTACACTCTACACAGACAAGAAAGATAGTCCAGTGATTTTCAACTTATTTGAGCAGTAGAATCCTTTCCTCAAGGAACATCTTGTCAAGAATTCCAAATAAAAACATGAGGGAAAATCAAAGATGAGCCCTTCACTTACCCTTCAGTCCCTCCAAGAGTTTGGGGAAACCTTCACAGAGCTCTTCTGTGGGCCTCGTTTTAAAACCTCCCAAGCAACCCAGTTCTGCCATTTTACAGATGAGTAAGTGGAGGCTCAGAGAAAGAAAGGAACTTAGTGTCATCTGAGGAATGACCATCACACCTAGCACTCCACCCAAGTCCTGGGAATTTTAGGCCTGTGCTCCATCCCTGACACCTCTTTTATTAGGAATCGGAGGCTTTGGGTTAACAGTTACATAATACAGTCTTCTGCTAGTTCTATTGTAAGATCAGATTTGCAATAGGCTCTATAAACAAGCGGGTTTCATCTCCTTCCTGCCCTGTGCCGTCCCCACCTCCAGTTCCCTACGACACTGAGCGCAGCGCTGATTTGTAGAAGCTGCCCCTGTGAGCCAGCTGGATGAGTGTGGCTTGATGCTGACGACTCCAGAGTTTACCTTAGGGGTTCTTAGTTCTTCTCAGCTTATTTAATGTAATACTTCATCACTCTGTAATATTCACAGGACATTTGACACTACAAGGTGCTTTTAAAATCCTAAAAATTAGGCCTGTAAAAAATTCTGCACCTTGGGATGCAGAGGTGGTGTAACTCTCCTGCATATATAAAGAGACTTCCTCAGGAAATTGGATGACTGCCCCCTTCAGGGTGGCATTTCTGAGGGTGGCCTGCTGCTTGGTCTCCACATCCCTCCTTCAGCAAGCTCTAGAGTTGCCACCTACTTCTTGTCTCACTTTGGCTCCTCTCTGCTTCTTCTGTCCAAGCTGGATTTGATACGGATTTATGTCTTTGCATTCTCTTGTCCTTGCTTGTCAGTGCTCCAAGGTCTGTCTATGATTTTATTTTTTCTAAGGTTTTATTGTAAATCATCTAGAAAGCGAGTCTTCTGGCCAAGATAAAATGTGTGAGAAGCTCCCAGGATTCCAAAGCTGTCTGACTTCCCCAGATCTGTGCCCTAACTGGCTCTATTCACTCAGTGTCCCTTTCTGGGTGGTTCTGAGCTGCTCCCTGATGTGACCCAGCGGTGCCTCTATGACTGGGTTTTCCAAACTATTTCATGACATTCCAATTTGGGGAGTAGTATCTTAGACATGGTGTTTTGTCCAAAAGATTGAGGAATTCTGCTTGAAACCTATTTCTCTTGGCGATATCCATTGTACAGTCGCACAACAAAACTTTTTCAGAGTCCTGTGGTCCCAAGTTTTATGTAACTTAGTACAACCTAAAACCTGTTTGAACACTGAGTCCGTTTTCTAAGAGGTTTATTTAGCTTACAGTTTTGGAGGCTAAAAATCCCAGGTCAGGCAGTCCCATCCATGGAGCTTCTGGTGAGAGCCCTCCTAGCTACCTCACAGCATGGCAGAGGGCTCACAGTAGGAATGTGTACAAAAGGGAGAACTTGCATGGAAATATGAGACATTGGAGAGCAGAGGGAAGTCTTGCAGTTTTTATAGCAATTCCCTCTGCAAGAACTAATTCATTCCACAAGACTAGCACCAATTCTTCCAGAGTTCCGCACTTACCTCCAGTGGCCTAATCATTTCCTGATAGGTCTCACCTCTGGAAGGTTTTGCCATCACAACACACTACACCAGGGGTGACACTTCCAACACAGCAACCTTTGGGAAACAAATCATATCTAAACTATAGCAAGCACCAAACTCTTATATTTTGCAGCCCAGTTAAGATGCACTAGTTTGGAGACCACCCTGGAATCTCTGTCAGTGGGTTCTGGAAGCCTCTGAGCCCTGACTAGAGCTAAAAATTAGAATCCATCTTGACCCTAGGATTCATGAATCCTCGCTCTTTCCTAGCTTCATTTAGGAAACACCAAGTTAGGTTGCCTTCAAATGCCCCACACAAGGGCTTTTTCATCTACACCAGACCATTGTCAACTGGTTATGCTTTCTTCGGAAGTAAATGGAAGTGATCAAAAGAGAGGGGCCATTTATGGCATAAGCGTTGCATTTTTTCGGTCTGGTCAAAGGAAAACATCAGACTGAGCCACACCATTCTTAGAAAAAAGGATGATACTGGAGTTTGTGCACTTGGGAAGTAAGTCCTCCTTATCAAGCCAGCTTTTCCATATTCCCATTTCTCCTACAAATATGCCTCCTCCCAGACTTACATTAGTAAAATCTCTTCTCAGCTTTCTGAAGTAGAGACTTATTTTATTAGTTTAGTGAACTTTGGTTTTAATTTAGTTTAGATTGTTTCTAACAAATTAATGGCTTTATATTGTTATTGGTTGCCTTTTCTTCGTTTTCATTTTTCTTTACTATGACACATTCCATTAGCGATTCCATAGATAAGCCATGGGATTTGCTTGTTTGTCTGCACACAGGTCTACAAAAACTGCAGTGAAGATAATACTGATTATATAAGTATGTTAGGCTGGCTATAATGAAGCACCACAAACTGAGTGATTCAAACAGCTACAATTTGTCACATAGTTCTGGAGGGTAGAAGTTCAAGATCCAGGTGTTGGCAGAATTATTTCTTGCTTAAGGCCATGAGGAAGAATTGGTTGGTGGTTTCTTTTCTAGATTCTGGGGGGTTGCTGTCAGTCTTCGGCATTCCTTGGCTTGTAGGAATATCATCCCAACCTCTGCCTACATAGTCACACAGCATTCTTGTGTGCATGAAATTTCCCCTTCTCTGAAGACACCAATTATATTGAATTAGAGGCACATCCTACTCCAGTATGACCTCATCTAAATTTAATTACCTCTGCAGTGGCCCTGTAGGATATATTTCCAATTAAAATTACATTCTCATTTGCACTGTGGTACCAGGTTGCTGAAGCACTGGGAGTTAGAACATCAATATAGGAAGGAAACACAATTCAATCCATTGCACTGATTTTGTTCACAGTGTTACACTCCACTCTGCAGTATTTAAAGAAAAGCTAATGGGGCTGGTGAGATGGCTCAGTGGTCTAAAGCACCTACTTAGAACAAGCTAAGCTAAGCAAAGCACAGGGCCAGCAGTTCAATCCCCCAGCACCACATGCCAGCCAGCCCCACCCCCTGGTGGGCTGAGCTGGCCACACACACACACACACACACACACACACACACAATAAATAAATAAACAAAAAAAAAAGCTAATGGCTTAGGTCAAGTAGAAGGAAGGACATGTAGGGGCAGACACACATAGAGACTGTGTACAAGCTCATTTTTCCAAGAGAAGAAGAGCCTGATCCTCCCCAGGGCTGGCAATAAGACAGCAAAGGAATTGGGTTCATGTTAATGAGAAACTCTCTGTTGTATGCACAACCCTGGGCCAGGTGCTGAGAAGAGAGAGATAATATAAGCCTAGACACTGCCCATGGAAAGCCCAGAGGGAGAATGATGCATGACTGCATAGAAAGCTGTAGCTCTTCACTCATTTACTCATAATTCATAGTTATAGCCAGTATCACCAGCTCCAAATCACCAAATCACATGCCTTAAGGACACTTTGTTATGGAATTAGTATTCCTTGATGTACAGTTGCACTTTAGTGATTATCATTCTGGCAATTTGTAAAGCATGCTCAGGTGAACATGGAAATAACAGGCATCATTTTGCTTGAGAGCAAATCTGAGGAGGGGCTTTCTAAGCTTATTCTCTGCTTGGTAGGTCATCGATCAGCAAAGCTCAGAAGACAGAGACAAGTCCTTCCACAATGTCCTACAGACGAGAGCTAGAGAAGTACCGTGACCTGGATGAAGATGAAATCCTGGGTGCCCTCACAGAAGAAGAGCTCAGGACTCTGGAAAATGAGCTGGATGAGTTGGACCCTGATGTGAGTGGGTGCTAAGGGGGACATGGGACCAAAAATGCAGGCAGCACCATCCCCACCTGGGGTGGGAGAGGGTACACTTTCTGAGGTTGCCACTGCCTTCTTCCATGTTTGCCAAAGACACTGAATAACATTGTCTTTGTAGAGGATTTTTTTTTAAGTGTTGTATTACAGTTCTCCAGAAAAACAACCAGTAGTGTGGTAGGAGGGATACTGACAAGTCCAAAGATCTGTAGTTGGCAAGCTGGACACCAGGAGAGCTGATGATGTAGCTCTCTAATCTTACTGCTGGTAGGCTGAAGACATAGGAAAAGCCAATGTCTTAGAGCCCAAAGACAGGGGCAAAAAAACACCAATACCTCAACTGAAAACAGCCAGGCAATAGGAAATCCCCCACCCATGGAAGGATCAGCATTTTTGGTGTTAAGGCCTTGAACAGATTGGGTGGGGTCCACCCCCATTAAGGAGGCCAGCTGCTTTACTCAGTCTACAGATGCACATATTAATCTCACCCAGAAAAACCCTCGCAGATACAACTAAAATAATGTGTGACCAAATGTCCAGGAAACTGTGACCCAATCAAGTTGACTCATAAAATTAACTATCACAAATCTGCCTCTTACCCACTATGTCTGTGTCTTCAAGCCCTAGTTAATTTCCAAATAAAAGTAGTAACAAGGTCATAATCCTGCCAACATGATATAGCTGTCCTGTGTACGACAGAAAACACACCAACCCCTTTCCCAGAAGGAGAGGTGAAACCCTCAAATGATGTTGATTCTTCTCAATATGCTGTTACATAAACACTATGACGGAAAGTGAATGATGCTTACGTACTGTGATATAAAGTCAGGGCTGCTCATGCTACATGCTAAAGGAACAAGACAGGAAAACACAAAGATTTTTGACACCACACACACACACACACACACACACACACACACATTTGCTAGGCACATATATACATACGCATACTCAAACAAGTACATAAAACAAGGAGGAAATTTTCATGGTAGCTCTTATTTCTGTAACTGGTCAGGTGGAGGTAGCTGGTATGTATAGCTCTGTTCTTCCACAATTAATGCTGTATTTCTTTTGTCTTCCCAAGCTCCTCAGCTAGTTGTGGCTCTGTACCTGGTACAGTGACCTAAACCTTTATTTGAGAAGAGTCTGGGCCTTTAATAATCTTGCCTAGACTGGGTTGTTGGTTTCCACTGGCCTTAATGACAGGGCTAGGTGATACAAGAGACACCTAACTGGGTCTCCTGAATTCCAGTCTTCCTTACCTCTATCGCAGAGTAGCTATCCAGTTTGCCCTAGGAAGTCAGGATGAGCCAGCCTGCGACTCCGCAGTACCCAAGTAGCCAGGGAGCAGTCTTAACTTCCTACTTGGTGGAATCATGGAGCCTCCTACTATAAAAGAAAGCATTTCTTTTTTGGAGCTAAGACTTCTAGGCAAGCAGAAAAGGGAACCAGAAGCAGTAATTGTGCTAATGGTGGGTCACTAGGGGCAATGGTGTGTACTGCCCCATGTGACCCCATGTCCAACCTGGGTTTCTGGACCTGTGAGTCCTGGCTATGGGGAAAACAGCACCACACACTGGCCCGCAATCCACAGCATACACAGCCTTCTAGGGAACCTTGCCACAGCTCTGCAGGACACTGCCACCTAACCCGTGCTGCGACTGAGTCTCAAAAGGCCATTCCCTGTTCTGTCGAGAACATTGTTTCTGGAGAGTGGGAGAGCTGTATTATGTGATTAACCAGTTGAGAAAGAAAGGACTAGGGCTGGCAAGATAGCTTGGTGCTTAAGCGGCTGCCTGGCAAGTGCAAGGTCCCGAGTTTGATCCCAAGTACTGTATGCCATGCTGGTCCCGGAACTGGGTGTAGTGCCATATGCCTGTCATCTTAGCACTAGGGAGGCTGAGACAGGAGAACCACTACTAATGAGTCCAAACTGCATAGCCAGACCCTGTATCAAAAAAGAAAGAAAGGACTAGTCTTGTTGATGTTTTATCACTGCATGTTGTAGCTGGCACATTAACAGAATTTAATGTTCAAAGTCTGCAGTCAGGATACCCAGCATCAAGAGGGGGAGGACTCCTTCGTTGCGTGCCATCTAGCCAGCAGGGCTAGAACCTGAGCAACACCTGGCAACACCTAGGGGCCTACGAGGCAAGGTCTTCATCCCAGGTTTCTAGTCAACGCCTGGCACAGAGAAGGAAATAGTAAATGCTATTGAATTCAGTACATTTGCTTTGGATATATTTTGAATTAAAACATGGGAGATTTCAAGCCTTTAAAGAAACAAGCATTGTTTGACTCTCACTTGAAAGTGATCCACAAGGAAAACAGTACTTCAGTGGCATTTCACCGGGCCACAAATAATCATTAAGGCACAGGGAGCATAAGCCAGCAGGACAAATACAAGATGAGAAGTTAAATGTCCTACTTCCAGTGCTGGCCCTATCTCTGAGATTCTGTGTGACCTTGGGTTCTTTGCTATACTTCCTTAAGCTTTGGTGTCCCACTCAAGAAAAGATGGTGTTGTCCCTTTCAGGACTCAGCTTCCATTAGTTTATGACCTGGTCTTCTTTCCAGACTTGATGAAGTACCTTCTTTCCGGCTAACCCAGAATCCTTAGGTAGGAGCTGGGTCTGAGGACCCATGAAATGATGCCTCCTTCTGTCTTGCTACTCCTAACTTTCCCCTGCTCAGGTGGGAGGCGATAGCTCCCTGTAAGGCTGTGCCAGTTGCTGGAAGGTGGCATTAGTAGAGAGAGCCATGGGTCCCTCCTCCTTCCGCGGCCTCATCCTTCTCTGTTAGCCTGTGTTTCAGGGGAAACAAGCAGAGGAGTCGAGGAACAATCAAGCTTCTGCTTTTGTTTTCTTTCCTACAAAATAATTCTGCTCTAATTCTTCCTCTATCACAAGAACAAGCAGCTTTCAAAAGTGAGAACAAAAGGGGGATGTGGCTGCTTCTAATAAACTCTATAGACATAGCTCAGGTACGTGCCCAGCCCCAGGTCCTGTGCTGGGTCCCAGCAGGAAAGCTGCCCTGTGGAAGCCCAGGACGTGGGGACTGGTATATCTAAATGCAACAGACAGTTTGCTCAGAGAGAGGCCAGCTTCCTATGGGGTGAAGCTGCATGGAGCAGGTGACATTGGCACCAGACCCTAGCATTTCCTAAGTCAAGAAAAACAAACAAAGGACTCCAGGTCCAGTGAAGGTGTCCTGCAAAGCAGGCCATGAGTGCAGGCCCTGATAGGGAGATACCTGGGGAGGAAGGTCTGCGGGATCTCTGAGCAAGGCCAAAGGCAACCAGCAAGGGACATGGGGCTCATCAATGGGAGGGATGGCATGGCAGACAAGAATTGAGACATTTCTCAGTGGAGTGACTCAGTGTGAGCTTGGTGGCTTCAGGAGCTGCTCCTGGCACAAAAGGAAGGGGCTGGACAGGTGCCAGGGATTGGGGGAGAAATAAAAGGGGTTCACATGGTAGCCCAAGTGTCCATGTCCTTCCCGGCTGGCAATGGACACCACTTCTGAAGCTGCGAAAAGGCCCTGTCCCCCTCCTGCCATGCTGCAGAGAAAGAAGAGGAAGAGAAGCGTGGGGGCCCAGGCCTTTCAGGTTGGCCTGGTCTACCCTTTTGCCCTGCTGGAGTTGCCCTGAGCCCCTGGACAGGGCCCAGATTAGATGAGGCTGTGGTTGTAAATGGGGCATGTGGTGACAGGGATCAGAGCCCAGGTCCAGAGGGAGGAGGGAGCCTTCTCCACATGGACAATGTGGCTACTCAGGACTATGCTCAGTTCCCAGCTGGGAGTTCTGTTTTATCCCTAAGCTCTCATAGGCTTCCTACACCAAACACCAGGTATACGGCAGCCACAGCAAATTCCCAGGCCTGTGCACCTCACACACAACCAGCTCTGCTACCCACCTGAATAGCAGGAAAAGGCTGCTCTGCTGGTGCCCACAGAGGGACGGCGCACCAGAGGCTCCAAGTAATTGCTGACTGGCCGGCGTAGAGACCCAGGGAGAGTCAGATTGCACACAGAATCCGAAAACCGTGCCTGAGAAGCCCCCTCTGGCGAGGGTGGAGCAGCTGTGCAGATGGTTCTGGGCCAGGTGGGAGCCATCTGAGACTCCTGGGGTTTCCAAAGGGACTTTTTCAAAGACCTCTTTCTCACCCCTTCAAGGAAAAGAAAAGAAACCAAAGACAGACGATGGGAGATAACAAAACTGGTGGGTTTTCAGTCTCTATCATACAATTGGTCCCTTCACTGAGATCAGCTGTTACCTGATTTGCAAAACAGAATGTGCCTTTTGAAGGAGCCAGCGGGACTCTCTTCTTCCTGGGAGCACAACATTCCAGCTCCAATTTCACCAGCACGCCCACAAGACCCAGCTCTGAAACTGTAGCTCTGGGAGAGGCCAAAGGTATGCAGCTCATGCAGGGGGAGCAGACGGTACATGTTCAGCCCCCATCTGACGGGCCAGGAACCCAGCCAGAGAGGGAGCAGACCCAGAGCAGAGTGTCAGGACTGTGTGCCCAGGCTGCTGCCCTTGGTTCACTCCACTCTCCTTCTGCAGCTATTTTTGTGTCGCAGTTGCTGATACGCAGGCACTGTGTTAAGTGCCTTGAAGCTCTAACTCACAGGGCCGGCACCATGGTCCTAAGAAGCAGGCACTCCTGTCACCTCCATTTTCTAGTGAGGACACTGAGGCAGAGTGACTTATCCAAGGTCCCACAGCTAAGCAGTGGACAGCCCCAACATGGTTCTAGACCTCATGTCATAGCCACACTTGATAGGCATCTTGGGGAAGGACCACAGCAATGTTCTGTGGATCTAGAAGGCTTTGTCTGAAAAAATTCACCTCTTTTCTTGCTTGAAGGAGCCTGAGACAGAAGCCCAGGTCCCAAAGCCTGTCTACTCCAGACTTAGGCTTCTGCTTGTCCCTCTTCGGATCTGTTTCCCTGCCCGTCAGATGGACTCACTTGGCC